GCATGCACATCAAATAAACAAGAAGAAGAAGACAAATATACACGAGGGTGAAGAACGTTGAAGTTTGTAAGAGCGCAGAGAAAACACACTCTCATGAGGACACAGCTTGTTGACCCTCAAATCACTGCAGAATGATATAAACACAGCAGCAACATAATCTTCCACGCAGCTGACTGTACAAACACTATTCATCTATTTGCTTTTAATGAGAGCTCCTTTTTGCAGAAGACTACTGTATCAAGTCTGGCATTCTCTCGTTAATGGAATCATCCACCATGGACACGTGTGAGACTAATTGCAAATCGAACAGCCTAGCGGAGATATAAGGTTGTGGTGCATCACAGTGTTGAAAATGATGCTTTGAAAACATAATCAGCACAGGCTTGATTTAACTGAATCATTGTGATTTGATTTGGCTTATTACATTTAACGTCCTGATGGGTTTATTACAGTGCATCCAAAAACTCGATATGAAGTTAATGTTTGTGATAATCAGCGAGTCAGCAATGATCAGTGAAGCAGCCGTCAGTTTGAAACTGTGGGTCTTCATCTCTCAAGACCAAACAGTCACAGTCTAGATTTCAGTCTCAAGCGTATCAATTAAAACTGTACTTTTATGTGTTCCAATTTCTGGCTGAATCTTTTACATTTGTACAGGTGACACTTGTGCAATTTTAATTGATTAATTTCTTTATTTGTGTAAGATCTATACACTTAGTCTTTATATAGACAGGTGCAACCTCCGGTCTTGAAAAATGAAGCCAATGCGGAAGTGCAAAATCCTGCAGTTCCTCGAGTGTCGGCTCCAGGAACCCCGGAAGTCACATGCACATGACAGCATGTGTTTGTACAGCAGAAATTAACATGTTTACAGCCTGGTACAAAAAAATGGGTTGATTTTTTTTTTTTAAATGGCTCCGTTTTGATTTTGAAAACGATACGTGTCATCCATACTTTGGCGTAGCTGACATGCTTACCAGGTGGGCACGATGTAACTGTTCGTCAAGAGGCTGAAAACCCGCCTCAGCTCCAGCTTTCAGCCTGTCGTTAGGTTGACTGAAAGTTTCCAGCATGGCGGCTGCTGCTGATGAGCCTCCAGATCCCCCTGCAGGAACAGATGGCCGACGTCACTCAGGCTTCGTCCATTAATATTTACAGTCTATGTCCCATACCAAAGGGTAGCTGATTAGAGTCCGGATACAGTCCAAAATACAGAACTGTGTTGGAGCTGTGCCAGTTCACTTCCCGAGCTCTGCCAAGATACCCTTGCACAAGGCACTGAACCCCAAACTGGTTTGGGCGCTCTTTCATGTGCAGCCCCTCACTTTGACATCTCTCCATTAGTGCATGACCATATCCTGTTTGTGGATGTGTGTGTATTCCTGACGTGTGTGTGTGAAGCAGGTCCAAAAACCAAGTAAAAAAAAGCTGGATTAATAAAGTATGTCCTCCTCTTCTACTGGACCTGGATTTAAGACTTTTCACTCAGGATTTTAGAACATTCAGGGTACATGAGTTTTGACATTTAAAATCAGAATGTAGATGTTCCCAAGCTAAATGCTCAGAAAACCGAAAAGCCAAGTCAGTTCTTGAGGTGGAAGAATTTGTTGCTCTTGCAGTGGGAGACGTTGCCGCTCTGGGAGCCATGAGTCATTGTTGTGTGGTCAAATCTTAGTTACAGTACAAACACTGAGCGATAGCTTGTCTTTGGTACGTGCTTCTCTGTACACATATGGATGGTATGGATTGTTGTTTTCAATTTTTGATTTTGAAGGCACTTGAGTCCAAGACATTTACAGGACAAAATATTGTATAGTATCTTAAGAGTATGCATGTTGTTTCTTTCTTATTGCATGAGTGGAACATGATTACAACTTTTCGATTGTACATTTGTGTCTTTCAGTATTCATGCACACACTCTCAGATTATAACTTTCTGTCAGTGACTGTACCGTCACAGTTGAAAAGGCTGTCCAAGGGAAGTGGGTGTCATGAAGATAACCTGGGAGAATCTGCTGAGCTGGGCTGGATGTTCTGCAGGAAGGAAAAGTGTGGTGATCCACAAGCAGGAACACAGTCTGTCAACTTATTACACCCCACCACACACACACACACACACACACACACACACACACACACACACACCAACCCCCCCTAACTGCCATCTGTATTTCTGCCTCCGTCAGGCTTTTCCCTGACCAAAAACCCACCGAGTATGAACACACACACACACTCAGGAAACAGCTCCCAAATAAGCTGATGTGTCATGCCTTCCTTTTTGATATTTCTGCAAAAGCTCAGGAAAGAGGCTATGGCTCTTCTTCTTCCTCTTCTTCTACCCGCTGTCTCACTGAGCTGTAAGCGGTGACAGTTCTTGTTCCTCTATGAGAAGTTGCAGCTCCTGTGGTGGGAGACGCTGTCACTCCGGGAGCCATGAGTCGATGTTGTGTGGTCAAAGTGATCACCTTGACAGAGATCCAGCTTCTACAGGTAGGGGGGGGGAGGGGAGAGAATTGACTACAAGCCTGCATGGTTAAACCAGATCAGCTGCAGAAAGGTGAACTTTATGCGCACACTTGTTTGTGTTTGCATGCAAGAGAAATCGCCTGTGCTTTGTAAAAGGCATGAAAAGCCGCCGTGTGATGCAGATTTTGTGATCCGTTTGCTATCCTGATCTTATCTCCCCCTCACATTTCACAATCCACGGTGTGTGGTTACAGCTGTTTACTGGTTAGCAGGCTCAGCAGTAAAAAACAAGTAAGCATGTCTGAGAAGGTTTTTTGTTCCACTGTCATCTTATCTCTGTGGATTCAAGATGGGATTAAAAAAAAAACTCTGCATTCCTGATAACCTCGTCAATATGTTTGAAAATACGACATTTTCTTTTTGGAGCAATGAATCCTAACCTCCAACCTGGGGTCTTTCCCATCATTTGGACAATGAGTTAATGTCACCCCCACCCACTGTTTCATAAGTTGCAGGATTTTTCTGAAGTGAAAGAAGAACTTGGGTAAGACTGAAACTGGGTTAGGCAAGAGCTTTTCATTTAGAAGAAACACCTGTGAGTTTTGTCTGTCACGATGGGATTGCGGGTGCAGCGTTTCAGTGGGACTAATGAAGTACACGTTTAAACCCAGAGGTAAATCCCAACTCTATTTAACCTAATTTACAGATAGAGTCCATGTTGGTGGTGTATTTCTGTTCTTAAGTTGTGTTTTTGAACTTTTAGGGAAGAATTTGTGATTTTTCATACAACAGCATTGGCAGAATATTTATTTTATTGCAAGAAAATGGGTATGCACGTGATTTATGGATGCTATTTCAACTTTAAGGAAGGATGATGCATGTTGACATGCTTTGTAGTGCACTTGCCTGAATGAATGAAATGCATATTCTTCAGAACTGCTGGCAAAACATATGTGATGAGAAAAGTACGGTAGTTTAAAAAAAAGGAAAAATGTTGAATAAAGTTTGTATTTGATTATTGTGATGCATTCACGTGAGATTAAGATCACTGTAAGCAATCCAATTATGTCGGTAAAAGAGTTAGGAGACGTTAAATGAGAAAGCAAAAGAGCAAGAGTCTGTGTGTGTGTGTGTGTGTGTGTGTGTAAGGAGGGAGTTGTCTGATTCAGACATCTTTTTTCTGGTGGCTTAAATGTCTCTAATCAAGATAAAGTAGTTAGGAAAATTTAGCTGACCTCTTAAGGATAGCCAATTATGTATTTATAATGGACCCAGGAAGTAGAAATGCAAACCTGACAGTTATCATTTAAACATTATGAAACATAACAGAGCTAACTGTGCTGTAATAGCTTGAATGGCTATATTGTATTATAAGCATCAAATGTGGCAAAACTATTGGAAGCAGTCTAGACATGCAAAAATCTAATCGGATATCATTTCTTTGATGTCTTTGATGAACTTGGAGTTTTAGTCGACACAATCTGGGTTGCATGTCTAGATTAATTGTGCAAATGTCTGTAAATAGATAGTGAACCTGTGACCTCCACCAGAAACCACAGACACTACCTCAATTGTTGCAGCAGGTGCTAGCATCCATGTCGAGAAGCAGAAGAAGAAAAAAAAAGACTCAAGCGTATGAAACATCAGAATTGCCACCACAATCTCCAAACTTGAGCATTGATTTATTCGATTCTTATCTCATTCCTGTCCAATTTCTATGGCTGGCATTGATAATTTTCAGCATGCCCGCCCAGCACATGCACAGGCCGACCATTGTCGAGGTCCTCCTCGGTGACTGAAGCACCATTACCTCTCAACTCTCAAATCTAATCAGATTCCCTTAAGTGGATAACAAGCGTGTCTCCGGCATTTACAGTAGTGAGAAAGCCGAAGTGAAACCAGGACAAACCGCTGTCACACAAAGCAGATGTGCTGTGTCGCAGTCCTGGCATCTCTCCTGCTAGCTGTAGCGGAAAAAAAAAGGTTGATTGGCTAACAACTGGCATCTTGTTTGGCCCTGTAGCAAGTCAGAGAAGAGCTCTCAGTTACTACTGACAAGCTGAGTATTGTGATGGGACTGGGCTTAGCTAGGTGGTGAATAAGAGCTGACAGGGATTGTTTTTATTCAGAGTTTTAGTATAAAGTCCAATTCCAAAGTTGCCATAGCTACAGTATACATTTTGGTGAAGTTTAGAAGTGATTTGGTAATTCATCCACAAAAACTAGCAATTGGTGGTAGATGTCTGAATATACAATAGGGCTAATTATTAGCATGCTATTATTAAATCACTGCCAGGAGGGCTGGGAATCTTTGGGTGTCTCACGATTCAATTTGGATTCTTGGCTTCATGATTCGATTGAGAATCTATTCTCGATTCAAAATGATTCTGGGTTCATGATTCAAAGTCTATTTTTGAATTAGTACATAATTCAGGATCTACCCATTTTTTTTTTTTTTTTCGATTTTTGGAAGTTATGAATCGATTTAAAATCTCAGAAGATGAGAATCTCGATTTTTACATAATCGATTTTTCCCCTCCTCTAACTCCAACAGTTGCTTCTGTGAGACTAGGAACCTGTTTAAACAAATTCACTCAGTAGTTTTTGTTGCTATCCCCTTATTTTGACCGGCTTTCATTAAAGAGTCATGGTGGTAAATGGAAGTTTATTTTGGCTAACTAAAGGTAGACTTTACAGAGAACACAAGTCCAGAAAACGTCCTTCTTTGACTGTTCTTTACTTCTTTAATTGATATTGTAGTGTTGTTTTTAAGCTAACTGTCAGTGTTTAGCTTTAAGCACTGTTTTTTATTTTAGCTGTCATATATTTAACTTTTAACGGTCGTGTTTTTGATCATTTTATCTTTCATTGTTCTTATAATGACTGTTAGTTTGAGGCTTGGATATGTGCTTTTAAGGGACAATACAGAGCAGAGGTGATTAGAAGAACTAAAAATATTTTTTTCCTTAAAGTCACCTCACTTTTTTTCCAGTATCAGTTTCACTTATATCATTGTCTTCTAAATCAGCCAGAGTACTATACATGCATTGTTCCTTATCTCACTTTCCTCTACTTTAAATTGATTATCCGAGGTCAGTGATGGAGAAAGCATGCTTTTTTGACCGGTGAATGGAAAACTTTTTAAACAAAGTCTGGGTAAAAAAGAACAAGACAAGATGACCATCAGCGCGTAATAAGTCTGACATTATAACCCCGTGGCAAACAATACATGTATTATCATCAAGTTTAACCAAAAATTATCTGTAGGGCGTAAACTAATAAAGCAGTTCTAACAGTGGGCCGCTTTGTGAGTTCACTTTTTCCAAACCTACAAGTAATTTAGGTAATTTTAGGTGAGTGGTTAGCCCTCAAAAATAGCCCTCAACCTTCAGTCACAAACACTAAAATAGATTTATTGCAGTTATTGTTCGGAAATCCAATTACGCTTTACTGTCTCCATTGAAACAAGTAAATGAATGGAAATGCTTGGTTAAAAATGGCACTGAGAATTATTTAAAGCCCCCTTTGGGGAACAAGGGTCAATTGTGCTGCGACAACCCCTGGAGCAGGCAGCAGAGGACTTTGGGAGTTGACCTCTAATTGGTCAGTTTGAGAGAAAGGGGCGGTCCGAATGAATTAGTGATAGACTCTAAAGGCAGATATCCTGCAGTGATCAAACCCTGGGTGATCTGACAGTTCAGTGTTTGATGTGATTATCATGCTAGGCAACATAAAGGCTTACCCCCAGCTTTGGGCCTAATTAGTTCACTAAGGGGCCTTTATAAGACATTGATAAGGGACCGGGAAGTACAGACACTCACTGAGTGAGCAGAGCATCAGGATAGCGATAGCAGCAGCAGCAGCAGCAGCAGCAGCAGCAGACTTGGATCCCTAAAGTTGACCTGCTGCTCCAACAAACAAACCACTCTGAAGAGTATCTGCTTTTCTGAGAATGCCACACTTAACTGACTGCAGTTACTTCACGATGCGGGACGCAACAAGAGCTTCAAATGTAAGAATCTGAAACTTAGGAAAAACTGTTTGGGCTAACGATGATATTTTTTTTATTATTGTGTCGGCAACTCTGTCTGTAAATGGAAATGTAAAAAAAATTTTTTGACCTTAACTCAAATTTGGAGGAAAGAGCGTGATATTGACCAAATTTTTAGAGAAAAAAAACGCAGAAAATGGACAAAATATGGAAATACTTATGAGGCCTTAAGAATGAGTCCTAATTCTGATAAGAGGTTTGGTCAACATGTCAAACATGAATCATCCTAATGTATGACTTCTGCTTTAGCTAGTAGTCTTTTTATTTGATGAGGATAAATGACTCATAATGGAAAAATCCTGGCTTGCAACTGTTTTCGCGCTGAACTAAAACCGCTACCACACACTTCGTCTTAGTCAGCGTTGTGAGAAACAATCTCCAACCCTGTGAGCTGTTTTTGTTTTAACACTACTAATTAAGCTTGTGTATGACTTGTTTTTTTTTTGCTGCAGGTACACAGCCACCTGGAGAACTCCAAGTTCCACCTCCACCAGAGCCAGAACCAGCAGGTCAAACAGTACCTGACACTGGGCTCAAAGCTGGCCTCGTCTGCCGGGCAGGGCCACAGTGTGCAGCATCCACACACACCGGGCCAGGCGCTGGCCAGCGTTCCCATCATGAGGAATGGACACATGCCCTCGGTCAGCGACGGCAGCAACCCAAACAGCCCCGTTACCCTGCTCACTATGGCCAACCATGACAGCGAGGTGAGTGGACAAAGGAAAGCGACTGTATGTCATTTATGCTTCTGCTGGATTTATGGAAGTGAAATTAAGAAAACTTGAAACAGTGATTAGAAGAAAGTGAAGTTGCAAGACACAACTCAGACTACAGAACTTGAGGTCATAACTTTTTGAGATTTCTCAAGAATCTTGAAAGGTTCCTGTCAACACTCCACATTGAATTAAAAATAATTTCATTTGTGAGAATTTTGCCCCACCAAATCCCGCCTTTTAAAGAGAGAGCAGCATAATGGCTGAAACTTTGAGTTCACTTCACAAGTAGTTTTGCCCTGTAAAAATTTACATCTGAATTGGGTTCAATCTGGGAGAGTTCTGACTAATCATCTAAACAAAGCGATGCCATTATTGATCGCCCCCTCTCTCTTTGATGTGCTCATCAATAACTTCAGACATGCAGTCTCTGATGAGAGAACCCTTTCAAAGGAGGAAACTGGTTTGATAAGAGAAGCTTGTTTCTCCCGGCAACACCACTAACTAACTTATGAATGACACGGCAGTGGAGAACTCTTCTGTTATTTGATTAGTCTTGAGACAGTCCTCCCCCCATTTCACGTGTCTATTTTGGTTTGAATGGTGCAAAAAGATAAGACTTGGACAGCGTTACAATTCTGGCATAAATATCATGCATCTGTCCATGAGTACACTGAAATCACTGTTTTCTTTTAGTTTCCAATGGATGAAGTTATTGATGATCTTATTAGTCTTGAATCCGGTTTCAATGATGGAGGCTTGGATTGCATGGAGCCTAACATCATAATGCAAGGGAATGTAAGTATGAATCACATTAACACTCACATGCAACAGTTTGAATGTCTTTATTGATTGGTATCTGCAACACATCCTTTTCTGTCTTAACCGATGTAGTGTTCAACTAATGACGTCTTTCTTTTTAAGTCGAATGGGGACAGAAAGGTGGGGTTCCTCCACCCAAACATTTAGGTGCAGGCTTGACTTGCTTGGGAAGAAGGGGACCCTCCCTTTGTTTGGGGTCAACTTAAGTCTCCAGATGAGTCAAAGTTCATTGGGGCTTAGCAACATTTCTCACATTACTCAAGACAATCAATAACGGTGATTAGGTAGAAAAAGAAGGTTGTTTGTGGACAGAGGCTAATGTTTTACGTCAATGCTGTGAAAAGACACTACATTTATATAGACAGTAACTTACGAGGTCTGTTCATGGGGAGAACACCAACAAGACCCAGCTCAACAGACAGGCACTATGGGTAGAATTCCTTGCCAAGAAGGAATCTAAAAAACTCTGGAGAAAAAAAAAAAACCTGGGACAAGAGGTCCATTTGGCCAGAGAACATTGCAACACCTGAATCAAAAACAGTGACATGTTGTGGGACAGGAATACTGGGAATTAAGCTTAACCCCTTAAACAGAGAGGCTAAGCAGACAAAGAATAATACACACAGAAAAAGTGAAAACAGATTCTGCAACAGAAAATAAATGAGAGGGGAAAGCCAGCAGGCTCTAAATGAGGAAATGAGCACGTTTTTTTTTAGAAGGGAGTTACTGAGCCATTGGGTTGGGCTAATGCATACAACTCCCCATGGGCTTGTACAGAAATGATACCATGCTTAAATGGATCAATTCATCCTAATTAGTCATACAGTGCGATGCATCAAGTTGTTTCGCTATGTCAACACATCCAGGAACACAGACCAGAGAGGGATTGAAGTGATTAGAATAGGAGAAGCGGGGGGCGGGAGGGAGGGGGGGGGATGTTGCAATCTTTCATTTTGATAAGCACTTTTTGTCCCTTCTTTCTTCATCTTGGTGGTGTAATGAGAAAAAAAGAAGCATATGCAAACCAAACTGTGTGAAGATGTATCTGAAATATCTGCAGTTGCTTCTGTTTTGTTTCTGCTCTCGCTTCTTATTCCGTTACATCTCTGGACTTACATCTCTGCAGCCTTTTCCTTTACATCTCTGGACTTACATCTCTGCAGCCTTATCGCTGTTGCCATGTCTCGTAGCCAGATTTGACACACATGTCGTGGATCAAATTGGCTGCGCGCGTCCTGGAATGCGTGCCGGCTTCTGTAGCATTTTTCCCATAAATACACAAATTCCAATTAGACACACATATGTGACAGCACGCCATGTCTTGACATCTCCGTAGTCCATGAAAAGACGTCTTATTGCAGAGCCAACGCAGGCTTTCCCAGACGAGAAGCGAGCCATAGGAAAACAGTTTTGCCTCTGTTCAAGCAGTTGACCTAGCTAGCCTTTTCATGTGTTGAGGATGCTATTTTCAACACAGAAGACGCCTCTGTGTTAGGGGTGCTCTCAAGCGGAGGGGTTTTGAAAATGGTGGCATTAGATCACCAAAGCACTCATAGGGCTGCAGGCCTGGGTTGAAGATCAGGGTTAGATAGGGCAAAGGCTTGAGGTTGTCCTTTGATTGACTTGGTTTCAGCAAGGTTGAATTCTTGTTAAGTCGTGCTACGCAAACAAAACTGGGTTTGCCATGTCCTGCTGAGAGAGCCATGTTTTAAGCAAAACTTCCTGCTGTGGAGCCCAAAGCCAGAGACCCCAGGGGCTGACAAAACTCTCTGCATGCCTCTGATCAATTCACTAACCTCTTGTCTTTTTAGCCCAAGCGAGATAAAGCAACACAGCAGTCAAAAACAACTATTAGTGTTGCTTTTGTTAGAGCTATTCAATGCATGTGTTGACATGCGAGGGATATGTAAAATGTTGTTGAATTCTTCCAGTTGAATGACCCTTTCTCTTTCTTTTTCCTCCACCCTGCCCCTCTATCCCTCTTAGGTATCCCTCAGCGGCAGCATGCTGGACATCTATGGGGGCGAACCAGGTATGAGCGCTCCTAATGGTGGAATGAGTCCCACATCTAACCCCACAAATCTCACTGTAAAAAGGGAATACACAGGTATGCACTCATACCATAGAACTGATTTAAAATACTAACCAGATAATGAATCCCTACATGCTCGTATTTAAAAGTTCACACACACAAGTTCAGGGGTTTACGAGAAGGCCTCGGGTGTATTTCTTTGATTGAAGAGTCTCCTCTTAATCTGGAGGATGTTGAGAAGAACACAGTGAACTTATGCTAGCTAAAAAAAAAAGGAATCATGTGTCTGTCCCCTCCAAAAATCGAATGCAACTATATGTGTCAGGCAAACAAAAGACAAATGTGTGCACTGATGGGTATTCAGCGTTTAGCAAACAAACACTGTCTTTATTGTCATTGGCTCCGATAATAGGCCCTAGAAACGTGTAGACTTTTCCGTTACACTGCAAAAAAAAAAGACACAAAAAAAAACAAAGGGCCCTTTAAGATATTTCTTATTAATGTCACGCATCAAGCGAAGCAGCCTAATTGATTTAGGAAATAGAAAGTATGCCTGAAGAACCCTTCACTCTCAACGGGCCCAATAAGTAAATTGCCATCTGTTTCATTTGAGTGTGGGCGAAGAGGACAATGGGCTGTTACACAGACTTTAAATGGTCCTGATTGAATCAACAGAGACAAATTGGGAAATCCAATCCCAGGTCCCCAATTATGTAATTTGGAAGAATGTGAACACAAATATGGATGCAGTGGCATTTTCTGTCCCTCTTCAGGACGGAGTGGTGAATCTGCTAAAGTGTATTAATTACAGAGTAAGCAGTTTAAACCCTTTTTTTTTTCTCCCCACAATGAGCTTCAGACATGCTCGAGGGGATAGGCTGAGCTTTTTTAGTGCTGCTGTTGTGTGTGTGAATAATGTGTTGGTGTGTGTGTGTGTGTGTGTGTGTGTGTGTGTGTGTGTGTGTGAGTGAGAGAGAGAGAGTGTGAGAGAGCGAGGAGGTCAAGGAAAACTCCACATTCAGCCTGACCCCGCAGGCTTCAACTCCCTGAAAACAACCGATGGAGTGTGTGTCCTAACTGGACCTTTTTTGTGTCGTGTTTTGGGTTTCGTTGTGCTTCGGTTTCTAAATTTGTGTGCGTTGCTAACCAATTCGTTCCCCTCTTTTTTTTTTTTTTTTTTGTTTTTGTTGTTGACAGAACATGACACGAGAGTAATGGCCAAAGAGAGACAGAAAAAGGACAACCATAATCTAAGTAAGTGTCTTCTGCTGCCTTTGAACTCCCGGCAAAATATGAGTTATGGTTAGCTTTGAGCATAGCAGCAGACAATGATCTAACTATTCCCTTTTTTTTGTATTCTGTCAAGTTGAAAGACGGAGAAGATACAACATCAACTACAGGATCAAGGAGTTGGGGACACTTATACCAAAGTCCAATGACCCGTAAGTTGCCTAACCTTTTTGCATTTACTGAAACAATTCAGCTTTTCTCTTCATTTTATGTCACTGCACTATTTTAAAGACCCCGCACGGTGGAGAAGCATATTAAATGCTCAACACAAAGACACTCTTGACGTTGTTCATTGAATTCAAATGAGAACTCAAGCACATTTGAGTCATTTTTCAAGGGTGCACTTGAACCTCCATTGTAGTCTTCACTCCGAGCGCTGTACATCCTATCGCTGGGTCCGCCCCAGCAGTTCAGCTCCAAGCGTGAATGATGAGGCAAAGGGGGTTAAACGCAAAAGAAGCAGCCCGCACCATTTGAATCAAAGTTTGAAGCACAAATGGAACACAGAGATGGAGTGTGGGGCTGAATTGAAATCCAGCGGCCGTCTTTTTCGCGGTTGAACTTTGCTTCGATTTTAAATGGAAGGTTGGGGTTGTCGTCGTGCCATTAACATGGGATAAAAGAGATTATTAACGCTGATCACACCGACTTCTCACTCGTGTGAAAAAGGACAATTTTTACTACGGCTCCCCTTTCCCTCCTTTTAAAAAAAAGCAATAATATCCGCAAAAGAATGACTTGCACTCTAGCACCTTGAGTCCCAGGCTCCATTCCCATCCCTCGTCTTCCTACTAAGCTCATTTTCCCTCACCTATTTTTACTCGAGGATTAATTTTACCGAACAAGGGAGGTGCGAGAATGGACTTTCCACATAGCTACTTAACTATTCTATTAAATTTCCCATTCAGTGTCCCCATGTAATGTCCAAGGATGAATAATTGCCCCATGTAAATCACCATTTCTTATTCATATCATAAAAGAGGAGGGGAAAAAAGAAAGCCTCTGTGTTAAAACTTTCCCCCCCCCCCCATTTTTGTGGAGGATATTCTGCCGACATCAGTGGGTTCTGTATAAAAGGTTATCTTGAACATTTCTTCATTCTTGCAGAGACATGCGCTGGAACAAAGGCACCATCCTGAAGGCCTCGGTGGAGTACATAAAGTGGCTGCAGAAGGAGCAGCAGCACGCTCGGGAGCTGGAGAGCCGGCAGAAGAAGCTGGAGCAGGCGAACAGAAGGCTGCTGCTGAGGATCCAGGTGATAACATAGAGCAGTATGAGCTCAAACTATGTTCAACTTGGCTATGATACATCAACCATATTCACGTTAGTGATCTATTTCAAAAAACGGCCTCCTGCATGCATCGAAAAGTCGTTTCATTATCCCAAAGATCTTTTTTAAAAAAGACAGAGGTCTCACTCCTACAACCAACGTTTAACTCAATCAACTCAATCATCCTGTGTTTCTTCACAGGTCAGCTCATTCTTACCTCCAACTTTAAGACCCAACAACAAAAAATAATTTCCCACCTTCCATCGCCACAGCTTTACAAACCCCAGGCCCCAAGTTATCCCCCCCCACCATCCTCTCAAGACCTACTCACAATGTTGTCTACATGAAATCCTTCCCCTCCCCTATATATCCAATCTCATCTTGAAGCTCGCAGCTAATTCCTTGAGAAATACAGACAGCTATTTTTGCTCTAAAAGGAATAAAAACACTTCAGAAATACATGATGAATACTTGTGAAAGAGGTACTAGGTGACACATTCACACATTTAAGCACACAGTTTGGTTTCTGTGAGTTGCCTGAAAGATGACTAAACCATCCAGGAAACGCTGACCACCACTGATGATAAAAAAGGACAGTGAAGACGAGGTCAAGCTGAGGTTTTGTGATGACACTGTTGAGAGATTAGGTGCTGACTGTATTCTCTGTGATAAGAGTGTTGGTGGGAGAAGAGTGTGCGTCAACACCAAGACTCCCAAATTGCTTCTCATTGTAATGTTACCTCAGTGTGTGGAGGAGTTGTGGAAAAGGTGCGGTTGTGATTTTTCCAAAGAAAACCTCATTACCTTTATTCAGTGAGTTTGTAGCTGATTATCAAACAAACTGAAATTAAAACTTGTGTATTTTTATGAGAAGACTATCAACAACAATATTAATCATTACAATAAAGTTATTTTTAACGCCTCAATCCATCAGCCACAATTTAGAGGAACCACTTTGTCCACAGGGGGGCGCCAAAATTGACACAATCAGAAACATCTTTACAGGTGCTTTAAATTTCAGTATATTGGTTTCTCAATTTAAAAAAACAATCCATCTGAGGTAACATAACATTTGATTGTAATAATCAATTATGGGGTGCAAATTTGGTTTCAGTGGGGTCAGTGACCTCTAGACAGGCCCCTGTTCCTCGTGGCAAAACTGCTCTTCAATTTACCAAAACTAACACACTTGAGAAAGTGATGCCGTCTGTAACTTTTTGTTTCTTTACTTTATTTTTCATCAGGAACTTGAGATCCAGGCGCGAGCACACGGCCTCCCCAACATGGCTACAGCTTTAGGGACAGTTGAACTTTCCTCACACCTCCTCAAACAACAACAACAACAACAGCAGCAGCAGCAGTCATCCCCTCAGCCCCAACAACCCATACAGCCGCCCCTCTACCAGGAGGACCCCAACAGCGACTACCTCCAGAGGATAGCCTCTGTAGCGGGCGTTCATTCCATCCCTAGTGCAGCCGGGCCGCAGGATCACATCCCCGGTGCAGATGGTTGCACCACGTTCTCCGACCCGCTGTCCCACTTCACAGACTTCTTCAGCGCCACACTTAAGGAGGAGCACCGGCTGGACGAGATCCTGATGGACGACCCGCTGTCGCCTTTTGGCACAGACCCGCTTCTCTCGGCTGGTTCGCCTGGAGAAGCTTCCAAAGACAGCAGCCGCAGGAGCAGCTTTAGCTCAGCGGAGGATGACGACCTATAAGACTTCCCTCTTCAGTTACACACTTCTGGTTGTGGTGAAGGGCGTACACAGGGCCTTCTGAAGACTGACTCTTGGACTGCAACTACTGTATAGTTTGAACAACAGCTAAAACACCTGACAGTGCTCAAAAAGGTGCCACTTGTATAAAACAAGTCTTTTGTTTGTTTTTTAGCAGCTCATGGACTTCCTGCTCCTCAGCGTAACGTTACTAAAGACAAACTGTGCATTCTGCCTCCCGGACAGAGCAGAAACAGACTCATAAGAAAAAAGGGAGACAATAATCAGCCTTCATGTGTGTAATATACCTGTTCTTTCGGTAAACACTGTGGTAGCCAAACACTGTAAAATGCCAAATAATCACTGAAAACAGCCAAAATGCTTCTCTTTTTGAAAAACCAAAATACTACTACGTCATAAAAGGACCTTTTTTAATATTTGCAGTCAGAGTTGTGATCATGTGTTTGTGCCTTATTCCAACTCACAGTTTTGTGTCTTTTAAGAGACACTAAGCTGTAATTGTTGACTCACCAAAATGCCTAACGTGTCTTTGTCCTTGTCCGTGACTTTTTAAGTGTTTTTGTTAAATGTTGATGTATTTATATGTGTTCTAATCCATGTATTCATTAAAATATATATATATATATATATATATATATATATATGTATATGTATGTATATATATATATGTATATATATATATATATATATTGTTATCTAACATGTTACTTTTTGATGTCTTAGTAGGGGGTGGGGAAAATATAATAAACCCCTTTTTTTATATATACCTGATTTTGGCGTCTTTTTGTTATCTCACAGTTTTCCGTTCATTTACTAAAAGTATATGAGTTCTATATATATATATATATATATATATATATATATATATATATATATATACACACACACACACACAGAGTTAGATTTTCAGTAAATTTAGCCCAGGAAGGGAGAGCAAACCAGCGTTATCTTTTGTAATTGAATAAATAAGATCCTGTCAGACGACAACAGGGCAAAAAAACCCCGGTACAAATCGTGAAAAGTTTGAATTGTGGAAGGTGAAGGGCCGGCTTACAAGGTGGCTGATTGGAAATGAGAGGCAGAAAGGAGCAGAGAGGAGGGAAATTGGATAATAAAGACAAGTAGAGGAGGAGTAATAATTCTGATGAGCCCACTGTGAGCTGATGAGCCCTTGAGGGATGAATAATGGCGATGGGATAAGATATTTGCTGTAAGAGCTGTTAGCCAAGATCTCGGAAAGTTTCCTTCGAGGTAAGCAGGGTGAAGTGACGTGTCCTTTCATTTCCAAGAAGTATGATCCAGAACTGTTTGTGTCATTTAGAAAAGTTTGCTGGGAAAAGTTTGTTGCACAAAAAACCTTTTCTGCTCAATACGACCACAGATCTGGACTGTTTTTTTTTTTTTTTTTGCGTGGTTGTATCATTCAAAAGTGATTTACATCTCATCCTCGAGTCATGCATTAATAATGCACAAACAGAACAGTATTAAAAAAGAAAAAAGAAAAACATGCCAATACTTCCCACACGGATTTCTCATCAAAGCCTCCCTCAATTAATGTTTCAGAGTGTTACTCTGTAATGAAATCGAAACATTCCTCCCTTTTTAGCGGCAAACAAGACAGAACCAATCAATCAGCGCACACTCGGAGTACAGTTAATGCAGCTACAAAGTGGTGTGTGATGTTTGTGGGTAATTGGCCAAAGCGGTAGGTAAATATAGATTTTCATTATGCTATAAAAACACGAGAGAGTATCTAAGGAAGAGTCGGCATGAGGGAACTTTCAAAAGGCTTCATTTACATTTTCTCATCTTAGAAAACTTTAAAAACATTCTAAAATACACCAATCCAATTAGTGTAACACACACATTGATAAATGTCAATGTAAGGGGTAGAATGATACAAATGAATGCATTTCGACTTAAATTAAGCATTGGCAGAATAATATAAGTAGGGAAAAAATACCAGTATATGTTCACATAGCTGTTTTTTTTTCCAACAATACCTCTAGAGAAAAAGCATTCTACCCTGAAAAAAAAAACCCACTTCATTTGACTCAATATCAAAGGCAATTATGGACAAAGTTCAAGGCCAGTTATGCACAGGCTTCAAAAGGAAAAAAGTGGTCGGATGAGGCAAGGGTGACATCAGAACAAGCGACTTTTTTTTTTTTGTATTTGGATATCACAGCTCATCAACTCACAGTTTGAAAACGATCAGGAGGTGATGTGAAAGAAACGGCGCAGGTATCTGAAACTGACTCGTTACTGTGTGTTAGACACATTCGCTGCAAATGTAAAGAGTAGAACATACATTTTGAACATTTTAAAACAAATCTGGGAAAAGATTTTAATCCCCCACTAACCTCGACATCCTTTCTCGCTCACTTCCTCCTCCTGCTCTTTCTACCAAAATCCCCTTTACAAGAAGCAGATTTGGAGCTTGTTACATTTTCTGCCAAAGACTGAACACCTTGTAAAATGACTTTTCCATTCCTTCTTTTTTTTTTTTTTTGTGTTACTACTCCTGCATACACAGCAAAATGGTCTCCCTTTAAGAATGACTTCACTTAAGAATGATAAGGCTGCAGCTGTGTCCCATTTCAAACAGCAGGTGGCAGCAATGAGCTGTGTTTGTTATCATTTTCATGCAGTGGGTAATCAAACAGAAACCCAAGGCAGGAGAGTAGTACAACAGACACATTTGAGGTGGGTAATTTAAAAAAAACACTCAAATTAAATGTACTATAGTGGGTAAACAGTACCTTCACATAAGGTATAGTGCTTAGGCAGTATATGGTTAAGTCCATGGTAGTACCTACACTACCCAGTATAAACTGACAAATCTAAAGAAGGCAAGTGATGTCGTGAACCTCACAGCGAAGTCGTTCTGTCACCAAAACAACGTTGTCAGACCTCCTGCCACCCACCAACACTGACACCGGCACTGAGCGGGAGAAGCTGTCACCCTGTGCATGTGCCACAACTGCCAGCGTGCTACAATGCGCTCACCTGTCGAGCCTGCCATTGGCAACTGTTAATCACCTTCTGCCGAGGTGACTCACTTTGGAGCACGGGGGAGAAACACACACACACACACACACACACACACACACACATGCACAGGGCCGCACACAAACAAGCCTAATCAAAAGTGCAAGCACAAACACACATTTATGCATTCTACATACACAAAGTGCACACAGGCACAGGTGTGTGTCTCGCTGCGGAAATGTGCAGGAGCTAACAGTGGAGGAGAAAAATAACCACCTAAAAGACCTCATCAGGATCTGGACTGTGACAAGACTTGTGCACAAATTAGGTGAAATTTGAGTGGGAATAACAATCTGACAGGCAGCAGTGAGGCTCCAAACATCAAGTGTCATATCTATTTTCAGCCATGACTCAGAGCTGTGTGACAAACAATACCCATGCTGCCTCTCAATCAGTCAGCCCCGTCTGCTGGAAATGTGGCAAACCAGGGCCCCGGATACTGTTCCCCCTTCAGGAAATGTAAGAAATGATCTGAGGTTAGGGTCAGAGTTTAGGGTGGAAATAGAAACCTTGGATAAAATTTGACATTAACACGGAATTATAAGGAACTGAAAGCAAGAGTATTGTCTCTAAATGCACTGCAGTAATTCATCCCATGTTTCTTTAAGGCATTAGCCTCCATGCTGCTTTTATTCAAGGACCACATCCTGACCACTGCTTGACAAAATTCGACGTCACTACATTAGTAAGGCCCCACATGCATTAACGATGGAGGAGAAAAAAGAAAAACTTTTTTTCTTTTTTTTTTAAAAGGGGGCCAGGCCTTCTTGAGATGCTATAAAATTAATGTGATTTCCAGAGTTTTTATGAATCGAGCCAGATGCCAGATACATAACTTCAAACAAATTGACTTCCAATTATTGGTCCTGCGCACCACTTCCAGATGTGCAACAGATGGGGGCCGGGGCGACCAAAGGTGTCCCAACCCAGTGCTTTCTATTGTAAAAAAAAAAGAAAAAAAGAAACAGCAGTACAGTTGTGTGTGTTTTAAATCACCGTGGGCTGCGGGGCTGGAGGTGAAGGGAAGGACAGAGGGAAGAAAAAAAAAAAATGAAAGCACATCATTAGGAAAATGTAAATTCAGTAGAGCTCCATACGTAGCATTAATACAGCCTGATATTATGTAAAGGCAGATGAGATGCTGGAGCTGTATCAAGGAGGTGGAGGGATTCAGAAATGTAAATGTTAATGTGATCTCGGCTGTATCTTCCAGTGCTGGGATTAAACGGTAAAAAGGAACAATTATGGGGGCCTCGCTTTTTTTGTGCATATGTTAATAGCTTACAATATCCTTGCATGCATAAAGAACATTAGATATGATTAGGAGATACATAGCTTTATAAACTAGAAGGTTTTACAGTGCTCAGAAGTCGCGGTGCACTCTCTTCAATCGTTAATGAAGTCTCTTTCTGGAAACTTTCTATAATTTGATTAGTCGCTGTTAAAGCTACATAAAAGTAAAACAAATGTGATTCGTAGTGAGAAAAGTAGCTGAGCACGGACTTCTTTTTTTTTTTACTGTGCAGGAAACTAATAGAATATCCAACAGTGGTACGGTGTCCTGGGAGGGTCATGGCTCTGATCCCATTATTACCACAGAGTTCGGCCCTAAGGGAGCAAGGATGGATGTGTGTATTTCCCATAGCTCATACTGAAGCGGTCTACAGGGGCTCTATCCACCAAATTTGCGGACCAGCACCCCCCCCCCCCCCCCCCACCTCTGATCCTGGGGGCCAAAGAGCCTCTCCTCACCACTGCTCTGTTTTCACGATTCTTAGGCTGTCTATTCAAATACAGCAGAGAGCGTGGGGACCGTTTTGCCCGGCCATCGTACCTCTGTGCTGCCTTTAATTCCCTCGCTCTGTTAGACTTGTATGCTAATCCAACCAGCGACATGCACACACACTCCAACACACACTTTATAACCTTGTGTAATCGGGGTGACCTTGGCCTTGAATGAAAGCTGCTGGAGAGAGGTCCCAGATTGATTTGTAATTCATAAAAAGAGGGAGCGATGGCCACTGTGACCACCGCAAAAAAAGAAATCCACTGCTACCCTTTAAAAGAAATATATAAAGTCAGAAAAATGCCAGGCAACATTTGAAAACATTTTTGACTTGAGGGTGACTCTAATTTTCGACATAAGGGAGCAGGATGAGATTGTGAGGTGCAAGGGCAGCTGGGTAAATGTCAGATTTAGGCATTTTGGGGGCAGGGTGTTGCTTAGCACCAATATGATGATTATTAGCAGGGGTAGATAATTGGCGGGCCCCTGCGTTTGGGTGCTCTGATGGGCATCTTGTCTGCATTATTCATCCATCATTCCTCTCTCTTCCTTTCTCTCTCTCCTGCTCCCTCGCTCGAC